TCTTTCTTTCTTTCTTTCTTTCTTTCTTTCTTTCTTTCTTCTCTTTCCTTTCTTTCTTTCATTAGAGACAGGGTCTCATCATGTTGTCCAGGCTGATGTCAAACTCCTGGGCTCAAGTGATCCTCCCATCTTGGCCTTTCCAAGTGCTGAGGTTACAGGTGTGAGCCACTGCACCCCACCCATCTGTTGACTTTCAATGCAAGTAAATGACTTTCAATGCAAGTAAATGCTGGATTCATGAAATTGTTGTATGATTTTTCTTTCTCTTAATGAAGGCTGCTTAATCCTAGTTGCATACTGTTTCACCATTCATCCAGAGCACATGCATCAGATCCACAGGGCCAAGTTGCAGCTAGCTTATATAATGCCTTTGTACAAATAAGAAAACAATGCCTCTTCTAAGCAGGTTGATTAGGAAAAAAATCATACTCCTTGAGCCAATGCAGCACCAGGAAGAATTTGGAAGAACAGATGGTATATTTGTGTTGAGAAAGAGGTACTCAGTCTTTTGGGAAAGAGCAACTACCAGGCAGGCCAGCTACAGTTAGATAGTGGAACAGAGGTGGGGCTTGGGCCCCATTCACCACTGTGGCTGGAGCCTGTGGGCAGAGTGGAGGCCCTGATGGTTCTGAAACAGACTCATACAAAGTTTTATATAGATGAAGGGGTGATAAGGTGACAACTGCAATGCATCCACAGAAAAGGTCATTTTCATGCACTCAATTCAGATCATTATTTAAATACAAAGATGAGAATTCTTTTGCTTTCAATTCTATGTCCTTTATAAAAAAAAATGATAATGACAACATGGCACTTTTGTAGTCTTAGTGCCACACATCACTTCAGTTTTAACCTTGTTTAAATTACTAAACTGAATGTTTTTGTTTATAAATGTGAGAGGAAAGGGAAAAGCCAAAATATTGCACAACTAAAAAAGCCTATTGTTCTGAATAATAAAACTTCCAGAGAAGGTAAATTGTGCTTCAGTGCATGAATTTACTTAAGGAAGATAAAAGACTTTGTTTCCTCAAACTCTCTGATAGAGACACTAAATCAAATCCCAAATATGAAGTAGCAGATATTAGATGTCAGATGCATGGGTCATTCATTCATCTCTCCCTTTCCTTGCTATAACTCAGCTCAGAACAAGGGAAAAGGAGTCAGCTGTAATTAAGATGCAAAGACTAAATCTCAATCCTCCAGGCGCTGACGGCAAGTGTCTGAGGTAGCAGTCTCTGAAGTATTAGTGCATGACTGAAGAAACTTTATGATAGGAAAAGATTCAAAGGTGGGGGACAGTGGATAAGGAAAGATATCATATGATTTTTTTTCTCATTAATCTCTAATTTTTCCCTCCAGTTGCAGGTTCAAAGCCTGTAGGAGAATTTTTTTTAAATATCATGAAAAATGACTCTACTTCCCTTCAACTTTGCTATTTTGGAAATTGGGTCTATAAAGACTAAACAAATATTGTGATGAACCTTTTAGTTACCGTGCATCAGTTGCTTTCAGGTTAATTAAGTGAAACTCACTAAGGCCTAAATTGATGGGTTTATTTTGGGACTGTCCTAAAATCCAAATCTTTGTAATTCCCAAACTGAATGAATCTTATGCTTACATTGTGGCCCCCTCTAAATGGGGAGGAGCAATTTAGGCCCCAAACATGCATTCTTTTTCCTGTGCAATATCAATTCAGTTTCAACCATCTGAAAAATTACTCAATTAAAGTCTAGTTTCTGAATACAAGTGATTGCCCATCCTGGAATAGCTCTCTTTGTCTGCAGTCTTTTCTGCAGAGTAGGCAAATAAGGGGCTGGCTGGGCTGACAACATGTATGTGTACAAACCCGCACACTAGAGTAATGATCCTAGGCGTACCTCTGTATTCAGGAACTTTGTGTTGATGTTGGATAATCCTTGGGTGTTTGAGGTTTTTTTTTTTTTTTTTTTTTTAATTATATTGTTCATGCATTCATTATATGTTTGTTTAAGGCACACACTAAATTTTAAATATCTGAAATGACTAATTTACTAAATTCATTTTTGAAGCCAGAGTTGTGTGACGAGTTAAAGCAATTCAATCTTGCATAAAAACATAATGAACATCTGCTGGATTAAGCAGGGGAACTAGAATGAGTAGGACACAGCCTCCATCTTGAGAAGTATACATTCCGGTTGGAGGACTGAGAAAAGAATACAAATAATTACAATATAAAGTAGGTGAGGATGAGTTTTTCAGGAGGGAAAGTGGGTTCAAAGAAGGAGTACTTGTCCATTTGAAACTACAAAATATTTTTACTGAACTTTAAAATTTAAGATTGTATTGAAAGATGAGTAAAATTTGACAGAATAAAATATTACGCATATAAGGAATCATATAACACAGGTACAGAGAGGAAAAGACTGCCCAGCAAATGGTTACTTTTAGCTAGAGAATGGGGTTCATACACAAGAACATTAGCCATTAAGGCCAGATACACTTTAACCTGGGAACAATGTAAACTAAATTGGAGTGAAGAAAGAAATGAATGCTAAGGTGGAGGGTGGAGGTGGTTCAAGGAAGGGACTAGAAAAATAATTCTAGGGAGGTAAAGAAGAGTTTAGCTAAGGTAGTAACAGTGGGGAAAGAAAAGAAGGGATGGATAGGAAAAACTTTCTGAAGGACTGCTTGCTGGGAACTGTTAAAACCTTAGATGTGGTGAATAGGGAGACAAAGAAACCACCGGTGACTGAGAATGAACCTGGTACCCAGAGAATGGTGTTGCCTGAAAACAGAGATAGGAAAGTCAAGAGGAAGAATTGGCTGTGGAGAAAACAACATTTCTGTTGAGATTTAGTTTATTTGAATACTTTGGATGGCCAGGAGTTAAGGAGATATCTTTCAGTCATATGCATCCATGTGTCAAAGCCATCATGTTGCAGCTATGGGTATACATTTGGGTGCCATGTGCTTATGATGAAAGTTTAGATGGGAAGATGTTGGGCATTATGAAAGAGTGAGAAAAGCAAGGGAAAGAGCAAAGGTCAAAGGGAGTATCAGGTCGTCAAAATGTCAAATCATGCAGACAAATGGGCAGCAAAGCTATTTTTGGTGCTTGGGTGATCACTGACAACATTAAGGAGAACTTTTCGTCTGATACTGAGAGTGGGGTCAGAAATAAAAGTCCTATGTGCAGTAGTGTGAAGCCTTCCGCTTTGTTCTTTTTGCTTAGAATTGACTTGGTTCTGCGGGCTCTCTTTTGGTTCCATATGAAGTTTAAGGTGGTTTTTTCCAGTTCTGTGAAGAGGGCCATTGGTAGCTTGATGGGGATAGCATTGAATGTGTAAATTACTTTGGGCAGTATGGCCATTTTCACAATATTGATTCTTCCTAACCATGAACATGGAATGTTTCTCCATCTGTTTGTGTCCTCTCTGATTTTGTTGAGCAGTGGCTTGTAGTTCTCCTTGAAGAGATCCTTTACGTTCCTTGTTAGTTGTATTCCTAGGTATTTTATTCTCTTTGTGGCAATTGTGAATGGCAGTTCGTTCTTGATTTGGCTCTCTTTAAGCCTGTTATTGGTGTATAGGAATGCATGTGATTTTTGCACATTGATTTTGTATCCTGAGACTTTGCTGAAGTTGCTTATCAGTTTCAGGAGATTTGGGGCTGAGACAATGGGGTCTTCTAGATATATAATCATGTCGTCTGCAAATAGAGACAATTTGACTTCCTCCTTCCCTATTTGAATACCCTTTATTTCTTTTTCTTGCCTGATTGCTCTGGCTAGAACTTCCAGTACTATATTGAACAGGAGTGGTGAGAGAGGGCATCCTTGTCTAGTGCCAGATTTCAAAGGGAATGCTTCCAGTTTTTGCCCATTCAGTATGATATTGGCTGTTGGTTTGTCGTAAATAGCTTTTATTATTTTGAGATACGTTCCGTCAATACCTAGCTTATTGAGGGTTTTTAGCATAAAGGGCTGTTGAATTTTGTCAAAGGCCTTCTCTGCATCAATTGAGATAATCATGTGGTTTTTGTCTTTGGTTCTGTTTATGTGGTGAATTACGTTTATAGACTTGCGTATGTTGAACCAGCCTTGCATCCCTGGGATGAAGCCTACTTGATCATGGTGGATAAGCTTTTTGATGTGCTGTTGCAATCGGCTTGCCAGGATTTTATTAAAGATTTTTCCGTCTATGTTCATCATGGATATTGGCCTGAAGTTTTCTTTTCTTGTTGAGTCTCTGCCGGGTTTTGGTATCAGGATGATGTTGGTCTTATAGAATGATTTGTGAAGAATTCCCTCTTTTTGTATTGTTTGGAATAGTTTCAGAAGGAATGGTATCAGCTCCTCTTTGTAAGTCTGGTAGAATTCAGCTGTGAACCCGTCTGGACCTGGGCTTTTTTTGGGTGGTAAGCTCTTAATTCCTGCCTCAACTTCAGACCTTGTTATGGGTCTGTTCAGGGTTTCGACTTCTTCCTGGTTTAGGCTTGGGAGGAGGCAAGTGTCCAGGAGTTTATCCATTTCTTCCAGGTTTACTAGTTTGTGTGCATAGAGTTGTTTGTAATAATCTCTGATGATGGTTTGAATTTCTGTGGAATCTGTGGTGATATCCCCTTTATCATTTCTTATTGCATCAGTTTGGTTATTCTCTCTTTTCTTTTTTATTAATCTGGCTAGCGGTCTGTCTATGTTGTTGATCTTTTCAAAAAACCAGCTCCTGGATTTATTGATTTTTTTAAGAGTTTTTTTTTGTGTGTGTCTGTATCTCCTTCAGTTCTGTTCTGATCTTAGCTATTTCTTGTCTTCTGCTAGGTTTTGAGTTTTTTTGATCTTGCTCCTCTAACTCTTTCAATTTTGATGATAGGGTGTCAATTTTTTATCTCTCCTTGCTTCTCATGTGGGCACTTATTGCTATTATTTTCCTCTAGACACTGCTTTAAATGTGTCCCAGAGATTCTCTACAAGGCTACAGCAATCAAAACAGCGTGGTACTGGTATCAAAACGGAGATATAGACCAATGGAACAGAACAGGGGCCTCGGAGGCAACACTACATATCTACAACCATCCGATCTTTGACAAACCAGACAAAAACAAGCAATGGGGAAAGTATTCCCTGTTTAATAAATGATGTTGGGAAAACTGGCTAGCCATGTGCAGAAAGCAGAAACTGGACCCCTTCCTGACATCTTACACTAAAATTAACTCCAGATGGATTAAAGACTTAAACATAAGACCTAAGACCAAAAAACCCTAGAAGAAAATCCAGGCCAAACCATTCAGGACATAGGCGTAGGCAAGGACTTCATGACCAAAACACCAAAAGCATTGACAACAAAAGTCAAAATAGACAAATGGGGCCTAGTCAAACTCCACAGCTTCTGCACAGCAAAAGAAACAGTCATTAGAGCGAATCAGCAACCAACAGAATGGGAAAATTTTTTTGCAGTTTACCCATCTGACAAAGGGCTGATATCCAGAATTTACGAAGAACTAAAACAGATTTACAAGAAAAAAACAAACAAGCTCATTCAAAGGTGGGCAAAGGATATGAACAGATACTTTACAAAAGAAGACAAATGTGAGGCCAACAAACATATGAAAAATGCTCATCATCACTGGTCATCAGAGAAATGCAAATCAAAACAACATTGAGATACCATCTCTGGCCAGTTTGAATGGCAATCATTAAAAATTCTAGAGACAACAGATGCTGGAGAGGATGTGGAGAAATAGGAACACTTTTGCACTGTTGGTGGGAGTGTAAATTAGTTCAACCATTGTGGAAGACAGTGTGGCGATTCCTCAAGGACCTAGAAATAGAAATTCCATTTGACCCAGCAATCCCATAACTGGGTATATATCCAAAGGATTATAAATTGTTCTACTATAAGGACATGTGCACACGATTGTTCATTGCAGCACTGTTTACAATAGCAAAGACCTGGAACCAACCCTAATGCCCATCGATGACAGACTGGACAGGGAAAATGTGGCACATATACACCATGGAATATTATGCAGCCATCAAAAACGATGAATTTGTGTCCTTTGCAGGGACATGGATGAATCTGGAAACCATCATTCTCAGCAAACTGACAGAAGAGAATAAGATCAAACACCGCATGTTCTCACTCATAGGCAGGTGTTGAATAATAAGAACACATGGACACAGGGAGGGGAGCACTACACACTGGGGTCAGTTGGGGGGAAATAGGGGAGGGACAGTGGTGGGTGGGGAGTTGGGGAGAGATAGCAAGGGGAGAGATGCCAGATGTAGGTGATGGGGAGGAAGGCAGCAAATCACACTCCCATGTGTGTACCTATCCAACAATCTTGCATGTTCTTCACATGTCCCCCAAAACCTAAAATGCAATAAAATAAATAAATGGAAAATAAAAAGTCCTAAGTGAGGCAAAAATAATGATTGAGAGACAGAGCTCTCCATCTGGTGTACAGTTTATTTTGTGACTTGAACTGTGATGTGCTGTTAGGGTGGCCAGATTGCCTTAGGCTGACCAACCATCCCAGTTTGCCTGGTACAGTCCCATTTTAGCATGAAAAATCTGCATCCCAGGAATCTCCCAAGTTCTGGACAGGCTGGAATGGTTTGTCACCCTGTAATTCATAGGGCAACATGTTGCATTTAGTAGGTTTTCAGTATTTGTTGAATGAATGAAGAAAAAAAAAGAATAACATCTCTGGGTCTAAGTTCCTTAAGTTTTTAAAATGAGGTTAGAAATAATCTGTAGTACCCAGCATATTTTTTGGCAACCAGATAAAATAATGTATATGAATACATTAGGAAAAACCAAACACTATACAAATATACATAAATTTAGGCTTGATTAATTTTTTATTATATGCATCCTATGCATACTATTATTTGTTGAAATTTTTACTAGTCTTTTTTTGTTCTTCGTCAAACCTGTCATTGCCAATGATGTGATATTGGCACTGAAGTTAGTAATTAATTTTGTTTATATGACACCCAACACCCAAGAGCCTCTAGGCACCTAGCCAAGTCCTTTTTTTAAATGTAGTCATTAAATGTAGGAAAAGAGCCAAGCAAATTCTTAAACTGGCAAGTGAAAAAAAGAGCAACTAGTAAATGGGGAAACAAAAGAATTAATAACAAGTATCAATTAAGAGAATTTCTTTCATTATCTAGGGACAAAAACTGCATCCCAAACTTAATAGAAAATAGGTTATATAACTTTAGCCACCTAATCTCCCAACCTCTTGATAAACGAGTCCCAGAACTATGAATTTTTTAAAATGAAAATTTCCATTTTTTTAAATTGAAAATATAATTAGGCTTTTCACTTAGCAAATTCTCATGTTAAAGTGGGAAGAGACCTTGGAGATCATCTCATTCTACCTTCTTATTTGATATGTGCTTTTTGTAGGAACAGCTCTGGGTAATGTTTTATTAACATACTTAGCTCCACTAAGTGAAGGGAAAACTCACCTGTGAATGAAAAACTCTCCAGATTTCAGAGTGTAGACAAAGAATAGATCAGAGTTCTTAACTGGACTCTATAAATCCCTTCATCCATATCTAAGCTCTCTCCTTCTGACTGACGGGACAGGATCCCAATCTCCTGGTCCTAGAGTATTTTGACTAAACTCCAAGGGCTGCACTAAGACATTTGATTTCTTTCTTGCTTCATCTTCTTGCCTTTTCACAGCTTCTGATGCTTCTTTTGCTTTTCTCTATTAATAGTTGTACATATTTCTAGAAATGGTAGATATAATATGACTCAGAGAAATATTATTCAAAGACTTCAATTTTTTTTTGCCCAAGAAATTCAGCAAACTTTAAACATTTCTTTATACCCTACTCTCCTGTCTTTGACGATTTCCCTGGGAGACACTATTTTGTGGTGTCCTTTATATTTCAAGTTGATTTTACAGCAACAAAGCAGTTTCAAAATTGGACTTTCTTCACAAATAAGTTATTAGATAATTTGCAGAGAGATTATTTTATGACTCAAAATTCTCTGCCTAATACCACTGTGCTATGCCAACTATCTCCCTCTCTCTCTCTCTCTGTCTCTCTCTCTCTCTCTCTCTCTATATATATATATATATCATATATACACAGTCGTTTTATATATATATCACATATGTAGTCATATGTATACCATGTATACAAATTTGATCTGGACAGGCAAATTG